AGCAAGGGCTCCCAGTTGCTTGCTCATAGCCACTTTTTAAAGGTTTGTAACATTGTGAAGCTGACACTGGGGAGAGGTTGCTCAATGTCAGGCTCACAACACCCAAGGAACTGCATGTCACTTTTTAAATGTGGGGGGCACCATAAGCTGGGGTCAGGAGCAAGGGCTGCTCCCAACCTCATCCCACTGATCAGGAAGGGGACAGCTATATCCTGGACATTGAGACTGCCTCATGCCCCGTCCCAATGCTCAGCTCAATGTTGGGATATGGCAAGGGCCACTATGTTACATTTTCAGTTTAAGACATGATACAAACAAGTCAAAGACATTGAATATTGTATCTGCAACATCTTTGTGGCTTGTTACGTATCATGCCATAAATTGGCTTTAAGGTGTAGCATGTTACAATTTATGGCACAATTAACATTTCAATTGCACCATAAATTTAGCATCTGTCTGGGTCCATAGCGTTCCCTATGGCATTACAAAGCATCATTAATTAATCCAATTAATATGCTGAAGTGTATAAAGGAGGCTACAAATGAGCTCTACCTCTAATAAGGAAGTATTTTCCTCCAAGACACTGCACCTTCTCTTACATGGAAATACAAAGCTCTGGATCAATCTCCCTGTTTTACTAATGTAATTATCTCTGCATTAGTCTCTCATTCTCAGTAATTATGTTGACAAGATTGTGTCTGGTCCCTGTGTATAAACAGAACGGACACGAGTAATACATTTTTCCATTCAACCTTTCTTGCACCTGTCAGAAGACAACCATGTCCATAGCTGTTGCTCTTGTGCTCTCCCAAGATTATGAGTAAAATTTCAAAAGAACACTTTTTATTTCACCTCAATAAGATTTGGGTTCCTAATTCACTTTTTAAAATCAGAATTAAGCATCTGTGAAACATTTACCACGTGAGTTCAAATGCTTCATTTCCTGTTTTAAACTTTTTGCTACTGCAATTCTCTTTAACTGTCATTTTAGGACCTTTGTATTCCATAGCATAAAAACCAATGAAAGTGAGAGAAATTCTTATCTCTTGTCTAGATTTACTAACAAGTCATACTGTGCAAGAGCGGTGCCAATGCAGGTTAAACTGTGACTGTGCAACACATCCTGCCGGCACAAATACATCTATTTTATTTTACAAGCCAAGATTATGAGAAGGTTTTAAGACTAGCTGAAAAGATGATCCAAGGGATTTACTTCTAAAAAAAAAAATAAAGAAGGAAAACTAACAAGTACTACTAAATAAGTCATAAGCCATAGTCACCTAACGTAGCAGTAAAGGTTATAGTTTCTTTTTAAGAGGAAAAAAAATGTGTGCTGTGCTTTATGTGATGATCAGGGATCCTGGTTTTCCCTGATAAAAAAAAATATCAAATTCTCTGATAAAAACCCCAAAATCCATGATTAATCCTCTCACTCCCCCCCCCAG